GCTAGCAAACACAGTAGACACTAAGAAGTTTAAATATTTCAATAAGCAGAAATAAGTTAAAAGGGCAGTGCCTGGGGCTCAGTGGGTAGGGCACCGGCCCCATAAACTGAGGGTGGTGGGTTCAAACCCAGCCCTGGCCAAACTACAACAGAAAAATAGCCAGGTGTTGTGGTGGGCACCTGTGGTCCCAGCTACTTGGGAGGCTGAGGCAAAAGAATCGCCTAAGCCCAAGAGCTGGAAGTTGCTGTGAGCTGTGTGACGCCACGCCACTCTACCAAGGGCTATAAAGTGAGACTATGTCTCAAAAAAAAAAGTTAAAGGTAACTCATAAATAAGGTATTTACTGAGGCTATGCTGTATTCTTAATGCAGTAGGTTGAGCACTTGGGTGCCTGCAGGGAACAAGACAGGCATGGTCTCCCTGCCCATGTGGAGCAGAATCTAATAGTGGGCTCCAGCACGGCAGACAGCCTGCTCTGGTCTTTTCCTTCCCAGGGTCCCCTCCTAACCGCAAACGCCCTGCTAATGAGAAGGCCACTGATGACTATCATTATGAAAAGTTCAAGAAGATGAACAGGCGGTACTGAGATGGCCAGACTGTGATGTAAATAGCTCCTTCATCTCCCTTCTTCCTCCCTTCCTTCCTTCCTTCCCTCCCTTCCTTCCTCCTTCCCTCCCTTCCTTCCTCCTTCCCTCCCTTTCTTCCTGCCCTTCTCTCTCTGTCTGTCCATCTCTCTCCTGAAGCCTGCTTATATGCTAGCAGACAGTTCCAAAAACAGACTCTAGTTAGTCCTGTTGCTTACCTGCTGGATTACTCAAGCACTAAATTTGTAACTTTTTGAAACAAAACAACATTTAGTTTTCCTATTTGGGGGCAAACTCTATCATGAGAATTATTAAATCTTGTTTGTAATATGTTGACTTCCTCTCAATATTTGTTTTGAGTCAGGAGGAAACAACTGTGTGCTCATGGTGTGATGACACCCTTTAGATTGTGCTTTTATTGTTATGCAATCATGTCTTACGCATATTTTAAATGGGGGTCACAAATCTGTCCTTGATTATTCAGGGTGGGTCCACCTGACAGCCGAAAAATCTAGGATGAGAATAAAGGGATACTGGCATTTTTTTTGATTTTTATAAAGTTACCTGTTTCTTTAAAAGAGAAAAACCAGAAACTACATTTCTTACCACTTTGAGAATTATTAAATATGAGATGAATCTAACCTTACTGTTTGGATTGTGTTTCCTTATACCAACAACAGATGTTTTCAAAGCCCAGGGTTTGGGTAGCTCAAATGTAGAACTAAATTACTGAGATTTTCTCATTTAGTCAAAAAGTCATAGACATGCTCCAACCTGCCGGCTGTCAGTCCCTTCCCACTTACCCTATCATTTTTCCTGAGGCATTTACATGGGCAGGGATAGGAAAGAGCTGGTCGGTTGACTTCTGAGCTGATTTAGAGCAGGTATTGTGGTTACAGAGGTTTGGCTCTGAAGTCACCTCTGAGCCCTACTCACAGTTGTACACTTGGCCAAATCCCTTTCCCTCTTAGCCTCAGTTTTCTCATCTGTAAAACAAAGAATCTTTTCTTCCCCTCTACTAGAATGTAAGCTCAATGAAGGCCTCAGTGTGTGCTTCAGTTTTTCTTTGAAGCCCCAGGCCATAGCCTATAATCTGACACAGGCAGTTGTCAAAGCTGTGAATGAATAAGTGATCCC